GTACTACTCTGCCATAAAGAAAGATAAATTGGAGTCATTTTTAGGAAAATGGATGCACCTCAAGACCATAATACTAAAAGAAATAAATCAGACATACAAGCACAAATATTGCAAGATTTCTCTTACATGAAAAAGTCAAAGTATAACTAATTTAAAGACCAAAATACAATGTCGGTAGTAGGAAACAGAGAGATAGATCTTTTGCAAACGTGGAGACCAAGAGATAAGGGAGGGGGAAGGGAGGAGGGTCAGGGGATGTAAAAAGAGTTAAAATGTAAAAAGAGTTAAAATGTAAAAAGAGTTAAAATGTGACCAGGGAGGAACATCTGCAAACGTTAAGATCCATTGCTTAGGAAAGTGCCCTAGGAAAAACGGCCTCCCAGGACCCCACTGCACTCTGCAGAGGCGGGTTTGCCGTCCACCCCAGATCTGGGCTCTGATTGGCTGCGCTCCCTGCCCATCCCAGACAAGGCCGAGCAGAGAGATAGGGACAGTCAGCGAGGCACCCTTAGGGTGGGGAAGAGGAAGACGTAGAATCATCTTTTGCGGGCATGCACTCAGTTCAGCTCTAAAGCCACAGGTGCTGTCTTGCTCTCAAAAAGCAAACGTTTACCGATGAAAGGAGCGGGGGTGTGGCCTGGCCGCCCAGGAACTGTGGACCCGTGCAGCTGCTCCTGGACTCAGAACACAGGGAGGTGTTGAGGTCAGAGCAAGACCAAGTGGAGCCGGCATCAAGCAGTGGGCGGAGCTTGCATCCTCAAATTCTGTTCCCCGGAGCCCTGGGAGGAACTCAGGGCCTTTGTAGAAGAATGGCTTCCGGATGTTCCTTGATAATGCTCATAGATGTGTAAACGTCCTTTTTGGCTTTGGGGCTATTGACATTTTGGGTGGGCCATTCCTTTATAGTGGGGGGCTGCCTGGTGCACTTTAGGGGCGGGTCTAGCAGCACCTCTGGTCTCTGCTCACTAGATGTCACAGCACCCTTCAGCATGACAATGATTGATGTCTCCAAGCATTACCAGATGTCCTCTGAGGGCCACATTTGTGAACTGCTTGTCTAACGTAGTCAGACAGCTATGTATGCCCTGGTCCATTTAACTTTACAGCAGTCTCCCTTTGTCCCCCCAGGGGACGCGTTCCAAGACCCCACGTGAATACCCAAAACAGTACCCAATACTAAATATTGCTTTTTCCTACCCATGCATAGCTATGATAAAGTTTAACTTATGAATTAGGCACTGTGGCATAGTGGTATACATCTATAATTCCAGCACTCTGAGAAGCTGAGATAGGAGGATTGTCATGAGTTTGAGGCCAGCCTGGGCTACATAGTGAGTTCAAGACCAGCCTGTATTACAAAGCAAGACCCAGTCTCAAAAAACTAAATAAATAAAATAAACTAGGCATAGTGAGAGAGTAACAACAGTAAGTACTAATGCAATAGGACAGTTACAAAAATATAATATGATAAAATATATTTAAAACAGGAATTGTGGCCAGGGGTGGAGGTGCACACCTGTAATCCTAAAACTCTGGGAGGCTGATGCAGGATTGCAAGTTGGAGCCCAGCCTGGGCAGCTTGGCTATACTCTGCTTCTTTTTTGTTGTTGTTGTATGGGAATGGAACTCAGGACCTTGTGCTTGCCAGGCAGGTGCTTACTCCACTGAGCTATATCCCTGGCTATACTCTGCTTCAAAATAAAAAATAAAAAGAGTTGAGAATACTGCTCAGTGTGAAGACCTTGGGTTTAACTCCTAGTACTGCAAACAAAACAACCATAAGTTATTTACTTCTGGATACTCCCGTGTAGTATTCTCAGGCTGTGGTTGGGTAACTGAAACTGCAGAAGGCAGAACCAGGGTTGGTGGAAGGTCCTTACTGCCTTTGAGACATGGTGGAGGATGATGTGGGGTGTGGGCTGGGTGTGAGGAGGAATTCACCGCTGGTAAGGACAGCAGCCCTGTCCCTGTTGCTAGGGGACACACATTTCCTGTTCCCATTTAATCAAACCATTGCTGACCTCCTTGGTGGGTCCCCTTGCCCTCAGATAAGCAGTAGCATCTCAAACTTACTACAGCTGCTTCTTTCTCCAGCCCCAAACTCGCCCTCCCAGCCCCTCCCTCTTCAGTCTTCAAGCTGCCAGGGCCCCACACTGAGGAATCCAGATGTCTCTTCTCTTCCTCTCACGTCCCATACACAACTTATCCCCAGCTCCGGGTGGCTCCGGTAAGACCAGGACCTACTGTGCTATGGCCCTGCTCCAAGCTAGTCACCTCACCAGTGGTCTTCCGGCTTCCCCATTGTCCTGCAGCCCAGCTCCAACACCGCAGCCAAAGGCTCCTGCTGAGACAGCATAATCTCCATCCAGAACCTCCACTGGCGCCTCATTCTTCAGTCAGAGTGAAAGCCACACTTGCTATGGCATCGTGTCCCCCACACTACCTTCCTCATCGTTCTGCTGCAAGCACACTTGGCCCTTGTTTTCTCGATGTTCATTGAACTCACCAGCGTGGCCCTACCCCAGGGCTCTGCCAGGCTGTTCTCTCTGCCTAGAGAGCTTTTCCCACGCATGTAACCTTCCCTTTCTGCAAGTTATTCTTCAGTATTCTCACTAAGGCTTTCCTGATCACTCTGTGAAATTATATCCATTCCTCCCCACTTCTGATCCCCCCATGCTTTGCTTTTTTCTCCCTTACAGAACTTAGCACATTATAACAAATTGGATCATTTGCTTATTTGTTGTGGCATTGTCACTGTCTTCTTTCAAACAGACTATATGCCGTGCCTGTCCTCTGCACTGAGACCCAGCGCTCAGAGCAGTGCCTGGCACCACGCAGATCCTCAGTTAAGTGTTTGTTAAGTGAACAAACAAATGAATAACCATAGTTGAGTTCTGTCATTTTCCTTGAAGGGGAAACCAAAATGGAAGAACATCTGGGGAATGGGGAAGGAGGTACAGATGAGGGTTCAGTCTTTGAAAGCACAAGCTGTGAGCCGGTCCGATCACAGCGCTATGCACAACTGGAAGCAGCAACACAGAAAATCTGAAAATACAGATAACCTAGTAAGTATCTGTGTTTCAACTGCATTGCATGAAGTTACGGTTGATTCTCCTTTCTGCTAAGTAGTATGTATGTGAGGTGTGGTGTGTGTGTGTGTGTGAGAGAGAGAGAGTGAGCGAGAGAGAGAGAGAGAGAGAGAGAACGCATGCACACATACCAGGTACATCAGACAGAATGAAGGTGAATTTGGAAATTACTTTAAAACTATCCATGGCCTGGACACTCTCATTCCCATGGGTAGTTGACAGGTTGCATATATTAGATGTGCTGCTGAGTTTAACTGCAGACTGCTGTGTGGCTCCAGCTTTGGAAGGTCCCACAGCTCACTGGAAGTTGCCCAGAATCTGAGCTGTCCATGGATGTGGGCTCTGTGGGCTTCTCTGGGTTTCGAATCCAGCCATTTATGGTGTTAAGAGACGCTATAGAGTAGGTAGGACTGGGCCCACTCTGGGACTCAAAAGCAAGTTCAGGCATTATTCATAGTTGCAAGAAGAGACTTTTCTCTCCCTCTCCCCCAGGGTATGAAATATAAAACGGACAGCCTTCTTGTTACCAAGAAAGAGTCTAGCTTGAGGATGAAGCAAACAGAACTGAATCAGAAAAATTGAGCCATAAACCTACTAACTTTGCAAACCTTGGATCAAACCCTACCTGCCCCACTCTCTTCTTCCTCCCGTGTCCTCTTCCTCCTCCTCCTCCTCCTCTCTCTACATATGTACTGTATAAGCTACTATAAATTGGGCTGTCCTACTTGCAACAAAAGGCACCTTGATCTTTGATCTCTTTGAAGCTTTCCCATCTGCTTCTGACGCTGATGTGCCCGGCCTGAACACGTGGTTGTTATGTATGTGCGTACTGGGATGCATTTCAACATCTTAAGGGACTCTTTGTGGTTCACATTTACCTGATGTCCCATCTCTCTGGCACTAATAAAAATGATGGCCTCGGAAAGAACAGTAGGGGGACTTCTCAGACCTGGACCCTACTTCTCAAGTTGCACTGTTTTGCTGCTCATCAGTCTTGTTCAGTGTACAGTGCTGGGGGTTGAACTGAAGGCCTTGTGCATTCTAGGCAAGCAGTGATCATGCTTTTAAAATGCCTGTGTGCTGGGTGTGGTATCTCACACCTGTAATCCTAGTACTCAGGAGGCTGAGGCAGGAGGATCACTGTGAGTTCGAGACCAGCCTGGACTACAAAGTGAGCTCAAGGCCAGCCTGAACTGCATAGCGACACCTTGCCTCAAAAAGACACACACATACAAAAATAAACCCGTGTGTCCCGCTTACCCGAACAAGTCAGAGGCTGTGGCTCCCCGCCCCTCCAAAACCTGGCCTAGTTTCAGCCTCACACCCAAGGGTCAGTGCTGTCCAGAGGACAACAGGCCTGGAAAGACGTGTGAAAAAACTCTCCAACAGGTCTTTCCTTGTTTATTAGAGTCCAGACGCACAGGGCCAGGATGGAAGGATCCTAGGGAGTGTGATTTACAGGGGGCCTTGGGGGAACATGTACAGAGAGTGACACGGCAACAAGGGACTGCCATCTTAAAAATATATACATCTCAAGAAGCCATTCCAGCTGTGTTATCATTACAAAATAAAGCCATCTTTCCACATAGTGCTTTTCTTTGGTGCTGTTCTGTGGGCATGGATCCTGGGCCCTTCAGTCTCTTTGTCACAATTCTGTCACTCCTGACTGGCCTGGGAGGAGAGTCTGGAAGGGTGCCCCAGACAGATGGGCCCCTGGTCTCTCAGCCCCTGCCACCTCCTCCTGTCCCTTCTCCGCAAGTCTCTTCCTCAAACTGTGGCCTGGGAAATCATCAAAGCGTCCATCTGCAGACACTGGCAACACTCTCAAACGTATGCGCGATGAAGCCCCCTGGAGCCTTCAGGAAGGACAGGGGCAAGGGAACCAAACAAAACCCAGCCAGCACCACCTTCTCAGTGGTTGGATTTATGTTTTATTTCCTGGTTTGTTTCAAATGACCTGTATCACGAGTGTACAACTGAGAAGGGATGTTTCCTCTTTACAGATTTTTCAAAAATGGCAGATTAGGGGGGTAAACTTGGGTCCTGTTGTTTGGGGGTGTGGGGTCTTCTTCACTCTCCTCCCGTCCCAAGAGGTCAGTGTCCTGCCTCCCTACGGAGGCCCTCATCGGGCTTCCCACGAAGCAGCTGGCCCTACCCTTCTGCTCCAGATACCCGGGAGACCCAGCAAGCCCGAACCAGCGTGTCCCACAGTACAGGGTTCCCACTGGTACTAGTAGCATCTCTACCTCAGGAAGCCACGCCCCTTCTGCCAGAAGGTGCTCTAACTTGGTAACTTGGAGAAGCATCAGACCCAGAGAGGCAAAGCTGCCCTGTGCAGGGCACCCACCATTGCCCAGCAGGACCCACATGCTGTCCCCGAAAGAGCCAGGATGCAGGTACCAGCTGTGTTCAAGTCCCTGCTGACACTGATGGGCCAACACTTGGGCTCGTGACACTGCATAGCACAGTGTGAAATGCCACCCTCTGCCCCTTCCTGGGGGCGTGCAGTGCAGCGACGCAGGGCAGAGAATATACCTCAACTTCTCACATGAGGATTCTTCAGAACTGCCCCTTGGGGCTGGGCCCTAATGGATGTGGGAGGCTTGAGGTTTAACGCAGGTTCCTTGAACTCCCCAAGGTGCCTTTAACATGTCTGACCACTGGATCGGAGCCAAGAGGCAGCGTGGAGAGCCAGGGGGAGGCACTGGTGATTCTAGTGCTGACTTGTCTGCTCAGACCTCAGATTTCCCACAGGTAGGAGGAGGGGATCTCTCAGGATGACCTTGGGGAATCTCAGCAGAGGCTCAGGTCAGGCTGTCTCTGGGGGCATCGGGCCACGGAGGAGACTAGCAGAGCTGCTTCCGGTGGAAAGCATGCAAGAAGCCCACTGTTCCAGGGCCAGATGGGAGCTGCCGGCCTCTCTGGTGAGGGGAAGCTAGGTGAGCAGGGTGTGGCCTGGGGACCCAGGCCTACTTATTGTTATCCCTGCCTCACAAGGTAGCAAGAGCACTTTCCATCATGGACTGAACCCCCTTGATCCCCAGGGATCCTCCATGAGGCCGACCCATGAGCACTGACAGGGAGTTCAGAGCTGCTGCCGCAGTGGGTGAGAAGTGGCTCAGGGCCACCCACAGCAGCAGGGCGAGCCACTGTCCCATGCACCTGGACTGAAGGTTTCCTGGGACCCAGAGCTCCGTGTGAAAACCTGGGAAGTCCTTGGCAGAACTGGATGGTGGGGACCTGCAGAGAAGCTGGAGACTGGGGATCCCGCCAGGGATGCCCAGGCAGCTACCGCCACACCTCTGCCAGCAGATGTGCCTGCAGCAGACGTGCTCCATTTCTTCCGATTGCAGAGTAGTCAGTCTCTCCTCATGTCCTCCTTCCCATCAAGTCAGTGTCTTGCCCTCCCCAGGGCACCAGATCCTGCTACCCTAGAGGCCAAGGAGGACCAGGCAGGCTGGACTCCTCTGAAGCCCCCCTCCAGAGCTCCCCTGCACCGTACTCTGTGGCCAGGCCTCTCTGTGCTTGACGTGGACTGGCTGGGGCCTCCCCCATCCTGCTGGACCTTTTCAGGGCTGCTGGCCTCAAGCAAGAGCCTCCAAGTGTCCCTGGATGGGGCCAGGCCCCGGAACTTCCCACAGACCCCAGGTTCTCTGGAGACCAGACTGGACCCTCTATTCTGAGTCAGCACAGCTGTGTCTCCAGGCCTGGATGCACTGCGGCTGGCAGAAGCCCTGAGGTAGGGGAGGGCCTTCTGGGGGCAGAGAATGGGGACACCGGTGCGGCACTGGGGTGCGAACGGGACAGCACCAAGGGATGGGTACCCAGGAAAACATGGGAGCTCTCGCTGCTACTCCCGCAGGTGTACGGGGCCGGGAGCTGAGCATGTGGGGCTGAGAAGGGAAGGACCCATGTGAACTGCGGAAGGTGTGGGGCCTCCTGAGGATCCTAGAAGACACTGGGGCAGGCAGGACACCTGGAAAGAGCTGCCAGAGACTCCTGACGTCCTGCCCTTTGTGAACGACACCCCCAGGGGGCACCCAAATGAGTTGCCAGAGTCTGATGCACCAAACACTGCCCACGCGGGCTGCAGGCCGGGGGTGGGTCAGGAAACACATGCTGCCTCTCGGTGATCCGGTGGGGTGGGGGGCGCTTCCTCCAGTGGTCTCCAGTGCCAAGGGGAGTCAGCGCAGGCCCAGGCCTCAGCGCAGCCCATGGAGAAGGAAAAATGTACCAAAGAAAAAGCAGGTGACAGATGAGCCCCACGCCCTGCCCCACCCCCTGCAGCCAGGAGTCTGCGCACACAGCCCGGAGGCAGGAAGTCCCTTGCTCTGGGGCCATACAGGGGTCGGAGGTCGAGGCTGGAGACAGCGAGTCTCCACACTGTCCGTCCATCTGCAGGTCCGTGTGCCAGGCCATCAGACCTTGGCCTCCAGCATCTCCAGGAAGAGTTTGTGCATGGGCACCTTGCCCTGCAGCTTGACGCTGTAGAAGTGCTGCACGGCCTTGGTGGCTGTCTGCCGCAGCAGGGGCAGCGTGAGCAGCAACTTGCCCATCCTCCGCGGCTCCTCGTGGTGCTGACTCAGCTCGTGGTCCTGCAGCGCCTCATGCAGCAGGTCCTGTAGCTTCTGCACAGCCTCCAGGTCCTCGATGTACATGGAATCTGTGGGCACAAAGTGGGCATCAGTGCTGGCCAGTGATGAGGGGCAGGGACTAGCAGGCAGGTGGGGCTGCCGTTGAACCCACACTTTATAGAGCAGAGCCAGGCTCAGGGAGGTCACAGAGGCCAAGGACAGAATTGGGGTTCAGACCCAGGGAAGAAGAGGCATCAGTGGAGGACATTTCTCAAGAATCCACCATGAGGAGGTGGCAGAGACACTGTGGGGCTGCACCCGGGCAGAGCCGTGCAGGGGTACCGTGGAGCCTGAGAGATGGGCGCTTGCAGCCCTCACTTGCTAGCTGTGTGACTTTAGGCAATTTAACCTCTCTGTGCCTTATCTTCCTTATTGGTGAACCTACTGTAAAAGGCTCGAGAGTCACCTATGTTGAGGGTTTAGGAGAAGTGCACGCTAGGTGGCAGGCTCGCCCCCACCGCCATCACCCTGTAAAGCACTTCCACTGGACCTCTTGCCCTGCTGCCAGGCGCCACTCCTCCAGGCTGCCCTCCTGACCTCACACAGTTCTGGTTATAGACAGCAAAAAGGGATGAGCTCTCCGCTGGGGCGCCCTGAAGTGGGGGCCCTGAGGCACGGTGGTGGACAGAGCTGCTGGGCCTTGCCTGAGATCCTGGGGACTGGGTAGGGCAGGGCGGAGCAAACACTTGCCTGGTGTATGTTAGGCCCTGGGTTTGACCCCCAGTAGTGTGTAAGCGTATGTACCTCGGAGGGCTTTGACTCAGGACGTGAATGGGTCTGAAGGAAATTTATCAAAATCTCAGGAGCACAGAGAGGTAACCAGTGGGTTGCAGTTGTGTCTGAGCCAAGCAAAGCAAAGAACCTCCAGGATGCCACCCGCCGGTGCCACCCGCCGGAGCAACTGTGCGACTTCTCCGGACCTTTCCTTAGGGACCTGGGTCCATCCTGAACTGCAGCACCGAGGCTTGCCAGAGGGGGCAGGGGAGGGAGCGAGCCCAGACAAGTAATCAGGAAGGCTGCACAGATCGCCTGAGTTCCCACAAAAGACTTTCTTGCTTGCTTTTCTTTTTTCCTTCTTGGTTAGCTGAAACTGCAGACTGTTAGGGGCAGCTGCACCAACTGGCTGGCTCCAGGGACCCCCCAGCCTCTCTGGGTCTACACTATACGAGGCCTTTGCCAACTAAGAGATAAAATATGACTACACTCCGCCATTTAGTTACTGTGTGCACTCAAAATGCAGCTGTCCCTGCTAGGCTGGGCCCTGGCTCTGGCCAGCTCCCCCTCTACCGCCCCCACCCCCGTCTCCCCAAGGAGGCCGAAACTGGCAGCTGCCTTCGACCAAAAATGAAATAAAATAACACTGCAAGATTAATTTCTTCACAATCCATCAGCAAGTCTGTATTGATGGCATTGATAAACTGTTAATTACAAAATCAATGGCTATGAATTTTTTCTGCTGCCAGAGGGGTCTGGAGATGGCTGGATGCAGGGTAAACGGCGGCCAGCAGGCTCCTGAGGGCCGAGCTCTGGGGCCACAGCCCATCTCTAATGAGCTCTGCCCCTCCGCCTGGCATCCTCCGGCCCAAGCCACTGGACTCCCCTGGGTCGCCCTGTCCACTCAGCCTCAGCAGTGGCACCAACTGCGGTCCTCAGGGCTTCCCCCATGACAGCTCCTGGCTCCCTCCTCCTCCGGGCAACCCTCTCTCCTCTGGCTGCAGGGTCAGTTCCTGCCCCAAGACCAAGGGAGGTCTCACCCCTGCCGCTTCTCCTGGCTCCCTGGGCTGACCCATCCCACCCTGACCTTCCCAGTGGACCCAGACGGCTCTTCTAGCCACACAGCCCCCACGTCTGTTCTAACCTGCATCCTGCCCCTAGCAGAGTGCTCCACGACAGAGCTTTCCCTCCCTCTCCCAGGCCCACAGGCCCACGGAGTCCACTCGCTTTAGGATGCTCCTGCCCAGATGAAGGCTCCTCCGCCTGAAGCCCTCTACGCAGCCTCTCCTACAGAGGCCACTGGCTTTTGCTTCAGCTGTGCACATATTGTCTCCCCCAGGGCAGGGGCTCCTTCCAACTGACCCTGCCTCAGGCAGCCCACAGTAGGCCTGGCAGAGCCGAGCAGAAGCTCCACGAGTGAAGACAGATCTGGGGCAGGCACTATGCCCCGTGCTTTAGGTGCACCACTGCGTATTTTTCTTCATCATGAGCTGTTACTCTCCTTATTTCAAAGATGAGGCCACTGACACTCAGGGAGGTCAGGTTGCTTGACAGCAAGCAGGTGGCAGAGGCAGGATTTGAACCCAGGTCCAGCTGACCATGAAGTTCACACTTTAAATCTCTGCAGGACTGGCTAAAATGCTTCCCTCAGAAGATACGAAGCACAGGCAGGTGACACTCTTCTGTATGATGTCATGGTAGAGAAACAGCATACACTGTCAAAACCCATAGACAGGTACAACACAGAGTGAGCCCTAATGGCAACTAGGAACTTTAGTTAAGAATACTGCGTCAATATCAGCTCACTAATTAACAAACTACTCCAGTAATGCAAGACACTGAGAGGGAACTGCACTGGAGACAGAGCAGAATATGGAATTGTATATACTACCTGCTGTTACCTGTAAATCTAGAACTATTCTTAAAGTAGGGTAAAACCCAAAGCATTATTTTTCTCCTATAAATATGCTACAAGTTTGGAATCTGAAAGTACCTAAGTGATCTCTCTAGAAGTATGTGACTTTGTATTATTTTGCATTCATTTCTTATTAATAAAAAGCAGTTGAACAAACAAAATGTTTCCTTCCGTGTGTTGGGTTAGATTCCCCAGGAGCACAGCCTGAGGCAGAGGTTTGAGTCCAGGGACTGATGGAGGCTGTGTGCTCAGGAGAAAGGACGTGGAGACAGGAAGCTCAGAGAAGGTAAGGCCTGATCCTGTGCAGAGCTCTGCTCCACACATCTGCTCCCCCATACACATCCACACTGGCTGACAGCCAGGGAGCAGTATCAGAGGGGCGGCAGGCCAAGGGGCCGCTGTGAGCTGCCAGTAGCAAAATTCAGAAGCTGTGGGTGGGAGCACTAATGGTAAAGGGGACAAGTGGAGCATCAACAGTGTCCCCTGCATGCACCATGCAGCCATGGTTAGGGTGACTGACTGTCCCGGTTTGGTGGGTACTGAAGGGTTTCCTGAACTCTCCTGGGACTGCCGATAAAAGGTGGGGAGTGTGGGCCAAAGCAGCCGGTTACCCTGTGTGTGTCCATCTGCTGATAATACTTTGTTTCCTCAAACATGCATAACAAGGATACGGAGCATTCCTCTAGGCCAGGCACTAGGCTAAGGACTTTGTCTTCAATCCATCTTTACTACTCACGGAGTGCTTGAAGAAGGCTCTCAGAATATCCCCATCACACCACACACCCAAAGGCACGGAGTTGACCTAGATCTTGGTGCTAGTGTCAGAATTTGAACTTGGATCAATCTGACTCAAACCTGGGCGATTCACTGCCACGTGAGTGTACTCCTGACCTGTGATTTGGGCAAGGACCTTGTATTTCTCCTGCATCCCCAGCCCTCAGCCCAGGACCCTGCACCATATGGAGGCTCTCTGTGGGCACAGATCACGTTCAAGCTCACTCCACACTACCCAATGCCCAGCTCCACACCCCAGACAATGTAGCTGGAAGTTGATGGATGTTTAACAAATGGAGCAAAATCCTCCTTTTTAATGCCAGACTAAACCCTTCATTTGGGAATTGTTCGTTTTCTTATACTCAGGCAATTTGAAAGATGCGAGGAGGAGGAAGAAACTTGGGTTCATTTTGGAAAACGAGGGCTTGGGTCTAGGTCATAACTCCAACATTTTTTAACTGCGTGGCACCAAGGATGTGCCTGCTGGGCTCGCTAGACCACCTGAGGCTCGCCTCTGCCTTCCTCCTGCGGGCCCAACTCTGCCCTTACCTGAGTTGGCGAGAGCCAGGGCCTTGAGTGTCACAAACTCCTCCTTCTCCACCTTGAGCTTCTTGTACCTGCGCACCAGCTGCAGGATGGCGCGGTAGAGCTCCAGCAGCCCCGCCAGGCGCGAGTGCTCCTCGTCCATGATGTAGTCCTCGGCATACACCAGCTTGTCGTCGTAGGGCAGAGAGCGGTACACGATGCCCAGGATGAGGATCTCCATCCAGGCGCTCTGCAGCAGGCTCATCTGATCCCCCAGCGAGAGGCTGGAGAAGCCTGTGGGGAGTGAGGAGCGAGGGGGACAGCAGCAGTCAGGAGGTGGATGGGGTAGCAGGGAGGTGGGCTGCACTCCTCCCTGTGTAGCTACTAAACCATTGCTCTTCCTTTGGAGAATGAGTCAGACTTGGAATTCATGGGAAAGACTTACATAATACGAGCTCAGTCAATATTGACAGTTGTTATTATCACTGTGATTGTTATTTCCAGGGTATTTTTCAAATGTCTGGAGAGGCATCGTGATTAATTAATTGCTCTGTAATTTAAGAGGCACTGAATTCATAGTCGAATCAGGAAGCAGCTGTACAGAGTCTCTTCCACTCCGGGAGTTCCCAGGCTCTCTCAAACAAAGGGGTGGGGGGCACTTTGTGCTTTAAAATGATACCTGAGTCTCCCTGTGAAGTCTCAGCTTTAAGAGACCAACGGCCAACCAGGAAAGGCTCAGCCATCCCCAGCCACCGGCAGAAGCCGGGGCCCACTGGGGAATCAAAGCCTCGGTCAGGACACTTTCTCTCAGCACAACCTTTCCCCAACAGGGTCAGTCACCCACCACACCACCTGCGGCCATCACTCTCCCTTAATGATGACCCAGCAGCTCTGTTCTGGGAGCTGAGAATCACTGAGGCTTCCCCTCCCCGCTCACAGGAGGCGGGCTCCACAATGAAAGGAGGCTGGGGATGGGGAAGGAGCCAGAATCGTAACAATGACTTGTCAAAGCGCTGCACACATCGGCTGGCCTCGAGCCCCAGTGCCCCATGTACTCTGCCCCTGACCTTATGGAAGCCATGAAACTGCTCCAAACCTCACCCTCATCCATGAAATGGATACAACATTAGAGGCAAAGAGCCACTATAAGGTCTGCCTGAGACAACGATTACGAAGATGATTACAAAATGAAGACAACATACAGGAACTGCATTACATGTGTACTTAGCTTAGTACTTCACTTGATTTGCAAGAAGGCAAGTGAGAGAAAGTAAGCTGACTGATTTGTGAGCATCTTAACACTAAACACACAGCAGTGACTTCACTCAGGGCTCAACTGGAAACAGGATGACGGATTCCGCTAGATCTACCAGGGGAAGGGAGAGTACCCACAGAGCCACTCGCGTCATGCACGTGAGTGAGGAAGAGACGTTTCCAGGGTAATTCTGCTCGGGAAGCAACTTGCTGACTTAGAACCCGCCTGCCTGGCTGCTGACTGCTGATGTGGGGGTGTGGCGAAAATGAAAAGAGGGCGCACATATAGGATGCAGCAGCGCGCCCAGAACACGGGAGCGCCGTGAGGCCTCAGCCAGCGGTGAGTCACTGCGCTGCTGCTGTGGTCTGTCCCTCTCTGTTTTCCATCCAGCGCAGGACTCCAACCTGCACTGTGCTCCTGGGGACCCCGAGCAGGCTGCCCTTACCCTCTGCCTTCCAAATGCAGTCGCCACGGTCCCGATCACACCTGTGCGACATGGGCCTGGATCTGCGCCTGCCGCTGGAAACCACACACGATCCACCAAGGAGCTAGAAGAATGGTGCCTGTGGGCGTGCGGGAGCACTGGTAGGCCCTTCCTGCTAGGGGGAGAGGCTGGGACAGGGCCCAGCTGTGTGTGCGCTGCTGTCCACATTCCTGGCATAGGACAGGGTGCACGGCGGCCGGGGGGGGGGGGGACCGGAGGTAATAAAAGATAGATAGAAATGGACATCCAATTTCCCTTATCAGGTCTCTGAGTTGGAGAGAGGCCTTGGGCGACATTAATTAACAGATACCAATCAGCTGGCACGGGAGGACGGGGGAGGGGTGCCAGACCACACAGGGAGGGGCTGTGAAAGCAGACAGACTGGGAGGGAAGATGGAGGAGGGGGCGGTGGTGGTAAAATTAATAGACAACTGAATCAGAAGATGCCGGAGAGGGTGAGGCAGGAAGTGCAGGAGAAAAGATCTCTGTCATCACACAGGTATGATCCTTACAAGAACATCACCAGCATGCTTCTGCCCCTTTAGTCAATCAACACATACTTACTGAGCACCTACTAAGTGCCGGATCCATGCTAGGCACAGGGTACACAGGTGTGTTGAGCAGAACTGCTCCCTGCCTTCAAGAGCATGGAGTGAAGGACATGCCCTGTGTCCCCAGGTGTCACAAATCAGCACAAAGCTATGATGGTAAGAAGAGCCATGGTGAAGGGAAGGCTCTGAGAGCATGAAGCGGGGATGTGTCTCAAAGGAGAGTCAGGAGGCTTCACAGAGAGGGTCTCGGGGGGCTGAGCCCTGAAGAGGGGAGGCAAAAGCAGCCCCGGCCATGAGGCACCCACGGAGGGGCACCAATGAGCTGCTGCCAGCCCTAGCCAGAAGCTCCCAGGGAGCGTGGACACTGGGCTATCCCCGAAAACGGCCTGCGAAGTATTCACAGCAGAGGAGAAAATGCACAGATACCACAGGCCCACGCTCCCAGGTGACAAGCAGTGTGCCGGAAGCACTTCTTAGGGCTTAGATTCAGATTTGGCTGCTTCTGCCCAGGACTGAGTCAGGGTGAGGATCACTGTGTCCCTAGGTGGTGGGGATGGGGGGGGAGGGGCAGAACTTGGGACGCTCTGTGCTACCATGGGAGGCGGCTGCAGCCTGTGCCAGCCTGGCGTGAGCACTGTGCTTGGCCCCAGTTCCTCTCCACCCTCCTGCGAAAGTCCTGGAGAGAGCTGTGAAAACCCGAACAGACCCGCCCCCCCAACGTGCTGATCTGTGCGCACAGGCTGCAATGAAGTGGAGGCTGTGTTTTCTATCTCCGACATACACTGAAATAACTCCCATGTTTCCTAATACGTGAAAAAAGGATACTAGAAAAAATGAGAAACAAACGTGGGTCCCTCTGGAGGGGCTGGGAGGGGACAGGGATGAAGGCGAGCTATCTGTGCTGACATTTTTGTCTACTTTTGGATCCTGTCGATGCCTAAGATGTTTAAAAATAAATCATAACTATAACCCTCCAATTTAGCAATGCCACTGCTAGGAATGGCTCCCAGAAAGAAATATACGCAAAAGATAAATGCAAAGGGCTGGTGTTAGATCACTGTTTGAAATGACCCAAAACAGAAAATAACCTAAACATAACTCATGTGATACAAGTAATTATTATATAAACACAACTTTTAGCTAAACAAACAGCACATTAGAAAGAACAAAGTAGGACTGTTTCGTGGATGTGCAAAGACCTCAACAGCAGGAGGGCTCCGGCATCAGCAGCAGACTGCAGGCCCAGACTGTCAGGATCCTTGCTTTCTGGACCACTTGGGATGACCCTGGGCAGCTCCACACCCTGGGCCTGTTTGCTCATCTGTACAATGGGAACGGTGATGGCCCTTTCCTCATGGGGTTGTTCACGTTATACAAGTCCACACATGGAACACTTCAAATGCTGCTTAGCACACAGTACATGCTATTACTTTATCTAGTTAAGAGGAAAAGTGGATATAAGCACTGTTAAATTGGGTGTGGTAGGGGTTGTCTATAATCCTCACACTCAGGAGGCTGAGGCAGCAAGATCACCATGAATTGAGAAAGCCTGGTACACAGTGAGTTCAAGGCCAGCCTGAACTACAAGAAAAATAAATAAATAAAAGCCCACACACAGTGGTTATACATGCACAGGAGACCAAAAAGCTGCACAGATGGGGGCCCTGTAAGTCTTAATTTCCATGTCTGAAAAAAAAAAAAAATTCCGCATCTGCCCCATCTGCCTGATATCTTCACTAAAAGCGTCGCATTTGTTATTTAAAAGCCAAACAAAGAGGCCAAAGTGCTCCTCAGGAAAGCACTGTCCATTCCCGCTGGTGGCCTCTCCTTCCTCGTCGAGTAATTAGGGACTCTGGGCCAGCGAGGCCCTGGATCGGCGTGGCACTGCCCACTCTCAGGCTTCTCACAGGAGTTTTGGGCCCCAGGAAAACTGCTTTGCCCTCCCTGGCTCATCTAGTAACACGCAGGCCCTACCCAGCCCTCCTGCCCCCAGTGATCTGGCTGCACAAGCTCCTAGAATTTAAAAAGGAAAAAAAAGCACATAATTTGTGGCAAGTGGAGTTCATAATCTGTTAATTTATGATCGTCTTTGCCGACCTGGAGGGCCATTAGAGAGGTAATAAAGGGAGATGTAATTATAGGATCTGCGGCCACTTCAGACACAGCTGCTGTCACTCGGCAGCTCATCTTTCACCCAGCCAGACGGCTACCTGGGAGCAGGGCGCCCAGGGACCCTAGCAAAGGCGGCCTCCGGGGACACCCTGCAGGAGTGCTGGGCACGCAGACTCCAGGCTGCCTGGGGAGGGCAGACACCCAGCTAATACTGTGCAGAGGCTGCAGTTCATTGAGGGCTCCCCACCTGTTAAAGGCGGCTGGCTCTCGCTCTAATCTCTTGCTCCCAGGAAGTAAGAAATAGATGCTCTGAAACTTGGGTGTGCCCTCCAGGAAAATCCAACTCAAGGTGAGATCCTGCAATTTGGAGTAGGGAGATCGACAGACCCAAACAATGGCTGCTACACTGAGCGAGTCACAGCCTTCACTGAGATTCACGAACTCATCTTTGTTCAAATAGGATCCTCAAGGGCAGAAATTAATCTACAGGTGTCCCTCTCCTTCTCTAGAGTTTCACTTTCTAAGGTTCTAGTTGCCTGAGGCCACCATGGTCTGAAAATATTAAGTGGAAAATTTCAGAAATAAATGTAAGTTTAAAATTGTGCAATGTTCTGGGTAATGATGAAACCTCATGCCATCATGCTCTGTTCTGCCAGGCCGTGAATCATCCCTTTGTTCAGTGTATCCACACTGTATCTGCTACCCACCCGCTGGTCACTCGGTAGCTACTCAGTTATTCAGTCAACTGTCACAGTGTTGCAATGCATGTTTCCAGCAACCTTCACTTCACTTAATAATGGCCCCCGAACACGAACACGAAAGTACTGTGGCAAAGGAGGAAGCAAGCAGGGCAAAAAACACAGAAGGACAGATTGCTTCTGATGTTACGTGGCAATGCTGCAAGGCATACAGGAAAACATGATACATACAGAGGACTCAGGCATCTGAAGCTACCCAAGGTTTCAGGCGTCTCCTAGGGGTCTTGGAACATACCCTTCACAAATAAGGGCACTCTAAGTCTCAATCTCTGCCACAGTTTTTAGCAAGAGACCTTACATACAGTGAGTGTTCGCTCTATGCACACAAAGGCAAGTATGTAGTACCCTCTGTATACTACCAGCTCGAAGACACTGAACTATGAGACACGGTCCTCTCTCTCGAAGGTCCTCTCTCTCTCACAGCTCTAGTCCTGAGCAGTCTGAAGTGACCAGTCCTTTCTGTCTGTCCCAGATCCAGAATGGATAGGAGCTAGTGGGGTGGGCTCTAGCTCTGTGTTCCCTGTTAGCCAGCCTCCTCTCTCTCTTCCTCTCCCAGGGCCTCTGAGCCTGTCTGCAGATGAGCTTGGCATCTATTGAGATGCGACTAAGTTGATTTGTTTAAAAATATGAGGCCCTTGATATGTCATCGCTCTTAATAGGAGGTTTACACACGGTGGCGGGAGAGTCCATTAATTAATTTTACCTTCAACACTGGAAGGTCAGGCCCAAATAATTCAGCATGCAGATTTATGCAAAACAGGCAAATTACAACCTGAGACAGACAAAGGAATTCAGCTTTGGATGAAGAGAAATGATGGTGGAAAAGGCTTTTAGCGCTATTGGTAATAACACCACCCACGGCAATGGGACCTGGCACTCATGAAGTGCCCACTGAGCGGGCTGCATCTTCCCAGCAGTCTCCCGCTTGCTCTATTAGGAGTCCCATTTCACAGATGAGGACACTGAAGCTTTGAAAAATTAAGTATCTTGCACAAGGCCAGTAAGAACAGAGCTGGGGTGGGAGCCCAAGCTGCCTGACTCCGAAGTCTATGTCCCCATCAACCACTCTGCTCTGGTCCTCCATCCCGTTTGGGCACAGATAGGAGAAGAATAGGGGCAAAGAGACAGGGTCCCTTGGTTCTACCCCTTTCCCTTGGAGATGTTACAAGGGTGGGTGATGGAAGGGAGAAGCAGTGACCCAGGGGACCGCCAGGCGCCACTCCTGAGCCATCACTAGGATGCAGTATCTACTCCACAGGAAAGAGGAGTACGGGCCAGAGCAGGGGTAGCTGTGCCCAGTTTGGCCCTGGGTTAGTGGAGCAATCCAGGCTGAGGTGTCTTAGCAGTGGCCTGACCCCACATGTGTGCTGAGCCAGCACTGGGCAGATTCAAAAACTACTGAGTATGTAATCCCCAGGAGGCTGAGCTCCTTAGCAAGGGCGCACTGGCTGGGCCCCTGGCAAACCCACTTCCAATTCAGAATAGCCAGGGGCCACCAGGGAATCTCCTAGGCTTCCTGACAGCCAGGTGGCAACCACAGCACCTCTAGGCCACCCATTCTCTCTGCAAGCCCCTGTCCACAGGAAGGTTCCCTTCTGCAAGTTGCACAAACACAGGTATCACACAGAACTTTTTGACTCAACTAACTGTGGGCCGTAGCATTTAACATCTAGAACACTTCTGCTATAGTGTCATGCACGTAGTAGTCATCTTCCAGGGTGTGGCATGCAAAAATGGGGTCTGCAGACTGGAAGATACGCTATCCCACGTCACATAGTTAGAATGAAGGTCCATAGGGTTGGAGGTGGGGGTGTCACTGCCAGGAGAATAACAGGATGTCTCCACACACTGAGCCAGGTTGTTGGAGCAAAAGAGGAAGATCCCTAAGATACGTGCAGTGTAGCAATCTGCAGGCATTCATGTCTACAAAAACACAAACGAGCTCACACCTTTACCCAGACCAAGAAAGACTACAAGGGGGCTCTGGATCCACATGGAGCGTGGAGAGGCCCATCTGGCACACTGCATGTACCTCTGACGACAGAAATGCCCCTGCCACCATGGAATCCAAGTAAAGCGGCAGGCGCTGCTAGAGAACAGGCAGGGGGAATGCTGAGCGAGCATGCCCAGGGCGCCACACAGGGCAGGCACACCTACACTCCCACTCTGGGGGCCAGGGGACCGGCCCAGGGGTACACAGCCAGGGAGCTATAGATCTGGAATCTGAACTCCAATCTCATTCCCACTGCTCTCTGTGCCTGCCTCTGTGTAATGAGAGAGCCAATCCCTTCTGCAAGATGTTTTCCAGCATAGGTCAATAAGGTCTACATACAGGGAAAACCTACCCTTTTTGCCCTAGGAAACTTGTTCTCACAGCTCTTTCAGAATGAGAACCGGTTCCCTAGAGCCCCCAGCAGTTCATAAGCATTTCAAGGCCTTCCAAACACCCACTCTCCTCCAGTCCCACAGGAGAGGAGAGCATCCCCGGGAAAAACAGGTTTTCGAGGATCTGATAGGCATCTTGGGCGCCAGGCATCAGGACCACAGCTGTGGCAGGCCTTGGGGCGCCCGGCCGACACCCCATTCCAGGCCCATGACTCACCTGGGATGTGCTTGGCCCAGCCAATGATGACCACAAGCTCCCGGTCCACCAGGTCACACAGGGTGGTCAGCGCCTTGATGTCTCCCTCAGGCATGCCGGCAGGAGGCATGGCATACAGCTTGTCTGGCTCAGCCACCAGCAGGTATGAGACAATCTTGGTCACTGCAATTATCAGAGAGAAAGGGAAAAGAGGGGCTTTTTCTGGGGAAAGAGGGACTGGGCAGGGTGGAGCTTGGGGTGGTCAGGAAGAAATGTCAGGTTCCTAACACCCCAGGAAGGTTAAATGTGGCCAGACTCTCTCCTCCCCGATTTGATGCCACAAAGCTGCAGGTGGCAGTGATTTGGGCTGTTGGGAAATTCCCAAGAGAAGTTTCCAGACAAAGCTCCTGAGAGAAACCCGCAGGGTGACTTGGGGTGGGGGACGAGGGGAGCAGGCTCTCGCTGCTGAGTGGGCCCTGTGGCTTCTCAGGGCCATGCTTCACATGGAATCACAATTTGCGCCATCCATGTAGACAGGCCTTCTGAGTGAAAAACTGGGCAACCATGCCAGGCACTGATGTCCCCTCCCCAAGCTCCACATGGTCCCATGTGGAGACAGCATTCCCTATAGGATGCCGGCTGTTGCAGGTTCAGAGGCTGGGAGTGGGGCGTACACTGCTCCGATACACACATGGCTTTTTAGCAGGTGGAGAAATTTGTAAGCTCAGGTACGGGCTGCTTTCCGAGTCCAGCCGTCGCTTGTATTTCTGGCGGCCTCCGCGCACTCGGTCAAGGCGCACACCTGTTAGGGAAAAAAGGGAGATGGTGTCAGGAGCTGGTCAATGTCACCAGGGGTGCTAGCGCTGATTTTGGAATTTCAGCACTAGCTAAGCCTTTCAGGGTCATCCCCATGGCCAGCCTGAGGCCAGGTGGCTGGACCATTCTGAAACAATCATCTAAGAGGACTGGCCCAGGGCAGTCACCGCAGGACTGCTCCGGCCTCTGGACTCAGTATCCTCTTGAAACCCATCTCCAGCCCTTGAGTCTTTACGTCTCCAAAAGCGAAATCAGCAAAGCCCTCTCCCAAGTGCTGGGGGAGAAATCACTGTGTGTTTCTGATAAGCCAACCTGGAGTCCACAGAGGGAGGAGCCCACTTGTGCCCTGCATGGGCGGCCACTGTCCAAGAGAGGAACAGGCCCCTTCAGACTTCACAGAAGCAGCATTGGTGGGTGAGCATTACCAATGTCAGTTTCTCAGTCTCCGCCACTGAGATTTGGGGACAGGGCTCTACAGTCTGTTTTATGGTATCCTCTGTCCCCACCAGCCAGCCTCACCCAGGTATCTGTCAGCTGGAGAGAGAACTGCTCCACCAAAATAACAAGCCAGCTATACCTATAATCTCGGCACTCTTGAGGGGCTGAGGAAAGAGAATTGAAAGTGTGAGCTCAGCCTGGGCAACTTAGTGACTTAATGAAACCTTGTCTCAATGTTTTTTAATAAGAGCTGGAAATGTAGCTCAATGCAAAGGCTCTGGGTTCAATCGAATGATAATCAAACAAATAAATGCAACCATTCATTGCTCAGTGGAGTAAGGAGATGGGCAGCTGCCAACTCTGTCCTTACCTCCTTCTGGAATGTTCCCTGACCCATACAGGGCCTGAGCCTGAGTGACAAATATAGGAATAGCTATCTATGCATCCTTCCTCCCCAGCTCCACAACAAGCTAGCACTGCTTCAGGAGCTCCTGGGCTTCCCCTACTGACTACGGGCCCCAAAGGCCCATAGGATCTGCCATGGTACCTGGTACCTACTAGGTGCTTAGGACATAGGAATCACTGCTGTTCATATCCCAGGCTTTCTGGCACTATAACTAATAATTTTGCTATTATTATTAACAATAATAATAACGCCCCACAGTGAAGTATTCATCATGTATTGCAAACTTATTTCTAATACCAAAAAAAGTCTAAACCAGTGATAGCATAATTTACAGGACAGAGGTACACATCACCCTATTTAATCCACCAGAGATAACACAGGTGTTCTGTTCTTCATTTTACAAATAAAAAACACAGGAGAGATTCAGTCATTTGCCTAGTAAAAGAACCAGTACAGAAGTTCCTTGCCATCCCAATGCGTGACCTTCCAGAGGGAGGCAAAGATAAACTCTCCTCTAAATTTTCTCCTCTAGATCTTTACAGCCTAGTGGTCAATAGCACTGATCAATAAACGTATCAATTATCAGCTTATTTGGTTTGAAAAAAGAAAGTGCCTGTTGGGTTTAATCATGCACAACTGGAGCCTGGTGCGCAGCATCGGCTCTCCCCAGCCCCACCGGGCCACAGCCCCTCTTTGCTGGCCCAGAAGACCAGGATGGGGTCCAGGCCAACCAGTGTGTGGGTGGGGGTGGGGGGTTCAGGCCTTGCCAAGCTGGCGTCAGGCCTCAGTCGTGCCGTCATGCACGGGGAGGAGGCAGTGGCGATGACCAATGGCTGTGTGGTTCACAGTGGCAGCTCCGGCAGGCCCCGCCTGCACCTTGGCACTCACCTGGCACTTGGTCCGCAGGCCGCCCCAGGGGCCTCTGCCTTTGCAGCTTCCCTTTGTCCCGCCAGCCTGCAGAGATCCCCTCCCCCAGACCAGCCCAACCCTGTGAAGTTCGCCTTCACAATGAGCTCAATTCCATCTCCTGATCACTTCCCACCTGCCCTCCATTCACCATTCACCAAGACAACTCCCTGTGCACATCTCCACCCTTTATCAATGTGAACATCCAGCGCACCCTCCTTCCCTGGCCAAGCACCCTTCGTTCCGGGCCAGGCACCTCTTTGCCTGCTACACATTCATCTTTATTGGTGTGTTCTGCTCTGAACTGAGAACTACCAGCTGGTGGAAGGCAGGAATGGTGGACAGACGTGCCAATTCCTCTGCAAGTGCCAAAACAGACACTCATGGATACTTGTGATCTGCCAGTATGTTTGTGTACTTTATTAAGTAAGCTGCTCATGTTTCTAATAAAGCAGAAGCCCCTTCCTGGGAGATAATGTATGGGCAGTGAAAAGCCAGCAATGGATCCCACAGACATTACTGTTGTCTACCCCTCTTCCATGCCTTACTTTCCTTTCCATACCAGCAGAATCACAACATGTCCTAGCCAGTCCCAGCAATTCTGTTCTCTAAGTCCCCAGCCTCCCTGGTAATGAGAGCTGGGCACACAGCCTGGTTCCAGCCAATGAATTGTATGGGAAAATTCATGGCTTCTGGGAATGATTTTGCTTTTTGGATAAAGGAACAAATACATCTGCTATGATTGTTATGGCATGTCTGTTCTGACACGGAAGGTGAAGCCTAGAGTTGTGGCAACCACCTTGTAACCATGAGGCAGCATCTGAGGATATCAAAAAATAGAGAAAGAAAGAAAAGGAGTTTGAGTCCTTGATGCAATGACTGAGAAGACAACACAACGCCAGCAACTGCCCATCTCCAGACTTCTTGTTAGGAGGAGAAATCAACCTTATCGTGCTTAAGCCGCTAGCTGTCCAGAGGTCCATAACTTGTAGCAGAAAGCAACTGTCACTAGAAGATACACAGGGCAACTGTTTTTTAAATTAGGATACAGCTTCCCAGTACCAGTTGGGTGGAGGATAAAAGAGTCTTTTTCTTTTCTTTTCTTTCTTTTTAAGACAGGGTCTCACTAAGTAGTCCAGGCTGATCTCAAATTTCTGATCCTCCTGCCTCGGCCTCCTGAATGTGGGGCTACAGGTGCATGCTACAATGCCTAGCAAAAGCAGTGTTGAATTTGAAGTGAAAGTTGCCTTATTGTTTATGTCCATAGATTAGAAAAATCTCTAAAACGTAGACTCAGGAAGCACAATTAAAATGTTAATTAACTTACAATTACTGTCTAGGATTATTAAATCTTATCTTTTCATTGGCACTTTCAGAGAATAAAAAAGCATTAATAATGCTAATACATAAAGTGTCACAGATGTCTCAATGCTATAATAAATATACATCCTTTACTTTAACTACTGATGAATATTGTTTAATCCCCTAATCTGTGCAGATCAAAAATTTAGTATTTCCAAAGTGTTTCATGAATACAAAAAACTCTGCATCACGGAATGCACGATGCTGCGGGAGATGGAGTCCACGAGCAGAGCCAAAGGCCAGATGAAACAGGACTGCTCCGTGCCAGTATGAGGAGCCCCTACACCTTTGCAGTGCTGGCAACTGAACCCAGGAGTACGCACATGCCAGGCAAGGACTCTAGCATGGAGCTACATCTCAAGCCCCTTTTAAAACATTTTATTTTGAGACAGGGTCTTCCTAAATTGCCCAGGCTAGCCTCAAGCTTGGAGTCCTCCTGTCTCCACCTCCAAAGCAGCTGGGATTACAGGCAAGTAGTAACATGCCTGGCACCCCTAAATCTCGTTTTAAGTGGTGCATAAGCAGGGAAGAAATACTACCATAGTCTTGGGATCTGATCTGGATATCACCCCTGGCACCGCTCTGGCCACCTGAGTGAGCTTGAGTTCTCCCTTCTCTATGCCTCCATTTCATCACCTATGAAATGGGGATAGTAACAGCCTACCTCACTGGGATGCTAATTTAATCCCCAGTGAGTCAGTATTTTAGTGCTGAAAACGTCATAGACAGCAATTAGTAAGTGGTCAATTAAATGTTAACTAATATTATAAAAATACTTCATCCTTGGGGATATTCTGTATCTTGGCCACACTAATGTCAGCGTTCAGGTTGTATATCATTGCACTTAGTTTTGCAAGATGCTATCACCGGGGGAAACTAGGTGAAAGGTACACAGGTCCTCTCTGTATTATTTTTTTCTGTCTCTATTATGTCTTACAACTGCAAGTGAGTATACAGTAGCCTCAAAAAGCTTAATTAAAAACTTTTAAAAATAGTAATGGAAAAGTCAAATAGTATACGTGTGGGTGGAACAAAGTTTGGTAGTTTTCGGAAAAGCTAAACAGAATTATCTGACCCAGAAATTCTAGTCCTAGGGACATATCCCAAAAATGTGAGCGCAGGGATTTGAACAGACATGTGCACACCAGCGCTCGCTGTAGCGTTATTGTCAGTAGCCACTGGAAACAACCCCAGTGGGCCTCAAGAGACAGAGGAACAAACGTGGTGCATATAAAAAATGGAATATTAGCCATAAAAAGAAATAATATTCTGCCATAAATGGATGAATCTTAAAAATATTGTGCTTGGTGAAATGAGCCAGGTACAAAAGGACAAAGACTGTACGGTTCCACTTGTCTGAGATGCCTGGAGTAGTTAAATTCCGAGAAAGGAGACTGAAGACTGTCGAGGAATGAGGCAAGGGTGAGGAGGAGTTGGTGTTTAACGGTACAGAATTCCCACAGGGATGATGGAAACATTTTGGGAACAGGCAGTGGTGAGGGTTCCAGAAGGCTCTGAATGTGTTTAGTGCCACTGAATCGAACCGTTAAAATGGTTTGTTTGGTTTTTTTTGTTTTGTTTTTTTGTTTTTTGTTTTTTCTCCGGTACCAGGAACCGAACTCACGACCTTGCGCTTGACAGGCAGGCGCTTTGCCGCTGAGCTAAATCCCCAGCCCCTAAAATGGTTTTTAAATGGCAAGTTTTATGTGATACATATTTTGCCACAAATAAAATGATGTAATATACCAACGCCCGGCAAGGCACACACTGTAAATGGGTGAACGGTATCTGTATCAGGCAGCTTTCTAGTCAATGAAACAAAATACTCGACACTCGGCACTCAGAATTTCGAGGAGCAAGGTCTGGCTTGGGTC